CAAAGATGTCTAACTAAACTCCAGGAACACTGTTTGGTTTCATTATACTTATATTTATAGTGTTTGTCTATTTGTGGCACAAGGTCCTGGTTTCCTTTACTTTGAATGTGATTTAAACTTACTTTTAAAACATATTTTTGTTGTTTTGTTTTGAGACAGGGTCTCACTATGTAGCCCTGGCTGGCCTGGAACTACTATGTAGACCAGGATGGCCTTGACCTCACAGAGATTCATTCCCCTGCCTCTGCCTCCTGCATGCTGGGACTAAAGGCATTGTGTCACCATGCTGCACACCAAACTTAACTTTTTTCATAAACATATCCAAGTTAAAAAGTCAGCCTGTCTGAAGGAAAACAGTAAGTACCTATCTGGCTGGTCTTGAATACAGACCACATCATTTACTAGCTGTGTGACATTGAATACAATACAGAATAAGTTCCTCTGAACCCCAGTTTTCTCATCTGCAAATAAGGGTGATATTTTTGTATGTGCGTGGGCATATGTGTCAGATCTTGCATGTGGAGGTCAGAAGACAACTTTATTGAGTCATTTCTCTCCTTCAAACTTCACGTGGGTTCTGGGGATTGAACTCAGGTTATCAGGCTTGCACGGCAAGCACCTTTACCTGCTGATCCACCTTGCTGATTCTTGATTTTTTTCTTTAATAGGATTAAATGAAGTGATGAAAAAGTCAGGAGCTTAGTGCCCTGACACATAGTTAAACACTCGATGCTATGCTATTTCTTTCTTTACTTTTAGACAAAGGGCTTGCTATGTAGCCCAGGCTAGCTTCATACTCATGGCCTTTCACCTCAGCTTCCCAAGTGCTGAGATTATAGGTAGGCAACATCATACCCATCTTCAGTGCTGTTGTTTTTATTTTTATTTTTTATGTGTATCAGTGTTATGTCTGCATGTTTATAAGTACACTGGTGTCATGCAGTGCCCAAGGAGGACAGAAGATGGCGTTGGATCCCTGGAACTGGAGTTACGGATGGTTGTTAACCACTGTGTGGGTGCTGAGATTCAAACCTGGGTCCTCTGCAAGAACAACCAGTGCGCTTAACCACTGAGCCATCTCTCCAACCCTTCAATGCTATTGTTAAAAACATTTTCTTCCTCTTCCTCCTCCTCCCCATCCTCTTCCTCCTCTTCCTCTTCCTTCTCCTCTGTAATGGAGTACTAGATATTGAACTTGAGCCTTGTGCAAACACTTTAATGTTGAGTTACACCCAGCTCAATATTATCAATCTTAATTTGTCTATTGCATTCTGGATGCCTGTAGCACAGGGTGCTAGTGGACTGCAGCATCACTGAGTGGAGATGTTCCCCCCATGGTCCCTGCTTCTACATCAGTGGTTTTCAGTGAGCAGTCATCACCTCAGGGACATTGACCAATGTTTGGAGACATGGTTAAAATGATGGTTCACGTATACCCCTAGGATCTGCTGGGTAGAGGCCAGGGATGAAGCTAAGCATCCCAGAATGGACAGGGCTATGCCATGAAATCTCTAGCTTGAAAGTTTAAAAACACTAAGGTTGGGACTAGAGAGATGGCTCAATGCCTAAAAGCACTGACTGCTCTTTCAGAGGACCTAGGTTCCATTTCCAGCACCTACATAGCTCACAAACACCTGTAACCCTAGTTCCAGGCCATGTCATGCCCTCTTCTGGTCTCTGAGGGCATTGCATGCACATAGTGTACTTACAGTCAAAACACTTAAACACATAAAATAATCTTTAAAAAAAAAATCAAGGTTAAGAAACCTTGCTGCACAATACACCCTGTACCAAGCATCAGCTTCAGCAGCATCTAACTCTAGCCAGCGCCAAACTTCCAAAGGAATCTACAGGCCTCCACTTCAGGGTCATCTTCTAGCAGGTGGGAATGCTGAAGCCTTGCTTGTGTGCAGCGTCCCATCTCTTGATGACTGAGCTGCTTGAGCAAGGCTGCCCTGTTCTGGTCACTTCTCTTTACACTCCAGAAAACCCATCTCTGCTTGGCTTTTCTCAAGTTGTTTGGCTTCTGGGTGTCTTCCATTTCCAGAGTGTCCTGTGAGGCTCCATAGCCACCATCTGAAGCCCTGCAGAAACAAGGAGGCAGAGAAATTGCCTCAGCCCTGTCCAATTGCCCTTGATGTTGTGGCTTCTGCTCTCAGTCTCTTTCCTTTGAGAAGTCATCGACATGTATCATGGCTATCTATCTGTGTGATGCCTTGATTTGATTCCTCCCCTCATGCTGAAGACAGACACCATGTCTGCCTGTGCCCATGGCATACTTCACAGTGCAGGGTACATCTTAGAAACGTATTTGTGAAATGAACAGTGAGAAGCAAGGAGAAGAACAAAGGGGGTTGATACAGGGATGGAAGAGAAGAGAGACAAACAGAGGAATCGCAATGTTAAGTGTTGAGAGATCTGAACTAGAAAGGGAAAAGGGAGTTTCTAAGCACAGGCTTGAGTACAATGAGGGGGTAGATGGGGGATGGATGGGCACAAGGACAGAGGGAAGGGAAGAGATGTGGTGGGGGGAGAGGGAGGGTCCAGAGTGGGAAGGAGAAAGGGGGAGAGAGAAAGGGGGAAGAAGAGGGAGGGAGGGAAGGGGTGAGGGAACAAGGGAGAAGGGGTAGAGGGAGGGAGGCAGGTGGGGAGAGAGAGAGAGAGAGAGAGAGAGAGAGAGAGAGAGAGAGAGTTAAAGCACAGGGAAGGAAATCTCACTGTGGTCTCAATGCAAGCATTTGGAAGGGAGAGGAGGGGCTGGGAGCTCTGGGATACAGGAGCAGTTTCCATGGAGACAAGGATGCACCAGGAGTGAGTGAAAGACTACTGCAGGGCCAACCACTCTGACACCTAGGGAGAGGAGAGCTGGAAAACATTGAAGGATATTGTGTGGGTTTGCCCCCTACCCAGCCTCTAACTGCATTCTTGCCTCTCACTGGAGAGTCTAAGGCTGGGGGTGAGGAGACAAAGTGTGAGGAGACTGACAGTGAAGTCTCTCTCTTCCTTCTGCTCCTACTCTTCCTGCTGCTTCTGCTCCTGCTTCTCCTCCTCCTCCTCCCTCATTATCAGTGGTAGAGCACCCAAGGGCTCAGTCCCACCTCTACTTTTGAGTTTCCACAATGTCTAAGCAGAATTTCAATACCCACAGATCCCTGTAGCTTTCAGCATTACACCTGCAGCCCTGGTTGCTCCCCGGGGCCCTGCACTTGCCTCTCCATCTGTGTGCCAAGGGGCATCTTCAGAGAGTTTAATTTTCTGGCTCACCCAGACCAGTTGTGCTACAGATTTGTGCTAGGTATTTCCTTTATACCCATCAAAATCTGGAGAGTTCCCCCGGAGGGGGAGCTGTCTTGGAGACCAGAGACAGCTCTGGTAGAATGTTTGGTAATCACAGAACTGTTGGGGGACACTGTATCAGGCTTGGAGAGTAGGTGTGCAAAACCCTAGATAGGGAGGAGTCTGAAGCCTAGGGAGCACTCCTTTGCAGTGAAGAGGAGAGGAGGTCAAAGCCAAGGGCCCTTCCCACTGTGTGGACTGGATGGGCCACATACAGTGGACAGAAAACTCACAACCACTCCTTGTCAGCGCTGTCATCTTATATCCAGGTTAAGCACCCGTGGGCCTGGAGCAAGGCCAATGGTCTCACAGCCCCAAGGACAGCCCCTATGCAAGTGGCAGGCCTTAAACACTGGTGGGGCTGATTAAACCAAGTCTCTGTGGTTGCCTACTGAATATGGCACCCGATTGCCCTGCCATGGGGCCTGTTCTTGGCCAATCACTCTGTACAGAGGGATGTAGTAAGCTGATTAACTCAGGTCTTGCCCTACCCCCTCTCTTAGCCTAGATTGTGTTAGGAGAGGTTGGTAACAAGCCAAAGAAGGCAGATTCAATGAGGAAGCTTATTTAGCTGGGCGGTCCTGACCTACCCATCTGCCTTTCTGTCTCTCCTCACCTGAAACCTGTTGAATTATTTTCTTATTTGTGTAATTATTATTTGTTATGATTAAGGTTTTGGGCTTTTGTTTGTTTTTTGAGACAGGGTCTCATGTAGCCCAAGCTGGCCTCAAACTATCTGTACTGCCGAGGATGATCTTGAACCTCTGATCCTTCTGCCTCCACTCCCCAGTGCTGGAGTTGCAGGTGTGTGCCATCACACCCAGCTCCTTGTGGCTGGTTTTGATATTGTCAGTTACTTTTAAATGGGGGTCACTGTGAAAAGCACTTTGCTGCCTCCTGTCAACTTCACAGCCACTTGATGATGCTCTTATCCTTATTTTACAGATGAGGAAACGCACAAAGAAAGGAATTCAGGCCCACACATCTAGCAGAGGGCTGGGCCAGTTTGAGTTCAGCCTGCTTAACACTGTACTGCGACCCACCTCTCTCCCATGCCAACTCCATGAATTCCATCGACTCCCTGAACCCTACTCTAGTGCCTGGCACACAGTAGGCCCTCAAAAACCATTGCTCAAGTTGGCACTGTGCTAAATGTCTCAAAAGTATTACTCTAACCCTTCCAAGCTCGTTTTGAGGGGAGCCCCGTGGCTCCCATTCTACAGAAGATGCAAGCCCCTCACCCCCCACCTCCCCAGTCACTGCCACAAGGAAAGAACTGGTAAGACCTACTGTTCCCACTCTGCCGTCTGTGTGCTTAGCACAGTGCTCAACTGCATGAACAGAAACAAAAGAAGGCTTTTTCCAGCATCTTGAATGAAAGGGAAGTGATTTTCAATGAATAACTGTTGAATGAATAACAAAACCTGCAAAAACTAAGTGAACGCAAGGTCAGGCAGTAGAGATAGAGGTCTGTGGGCTTGTTTCTGCTCCTCAGGCCGGAGGCCCATGCCAGACTTTGGGTCAATGTCTCTGGATGCTGGGGAAGTGGGGGATGGGGCTGAATATGGGATGTGCTGGAGTCGGCCCTCTGCCTCTAGGGAATAACGAAGCCTTCTCTTCCTTCTTGACCCGACTGCGCTGTGGGCCCGGCCCGTGCTGCCCAGCTCTGTGCCTCGTCCTGGGCTGCATGATCTTCCCTGACGGCTGGGACGCCGAGACCATCCGGGACATGTGCGGGGCCAAGACTGGAAAGTACTCCCTGGGGGACTGTTCGGTGCGCTGGGCATACATCCTGGCCATCATCGGCATCCTCAACGCGCTCATCCTGTCCTTCCTCGCCTTCGTGCTGGGCAACCGGCAGACCGATCTGCTGCAGGAGGAACTCAAGCAGGAGAACAAAGGCGAGTGTGAGCAGAGGAGGACAAGGCTGGGTGAGGGGCGGGGGCACTTGTCGACAAAAGAAAAAGCAAAAACCACAGACAGGAGTCAGCAAGGTGGATCAGCAGGGAAAGGCATGTGACTGAGCCTGACAAGAGGACCCCATGCCGGGACTCACAGGGCAGAAGAACAGAATCAGCTTTGAAAGTTGTTCTCTGACTTCCCACATGCACACACATACACACACATACATGCATACATATACACACAGACACACACATACATTCACACAGACACATACACAGAGACACATAAACACATATACTACACATGCACACATATACGTACATACATTCACACACATATCCATATATACACATTCACACACATAGACACACATAATAAATGTAATAATTTTTAAAATTACATATAGTACAGCCCTCCTGAAAATAGTATCCCTCAAATATGACCATTTATTTGCTTGATAGAGTGATGTCTTTAGTAAGCTCAAAACCAAGCAAAGCTGAGCTGTGTACGGCTTGAACATATGGTAACACAATATGTGCATATATTTTTTTTAATTTTGAAGACAGGGTCTCACTTTAGCCCAGGCTGGCTTGAAATTTTTTAAAAACCTAAAGAAATGATAAATACAGAAGATAGGAGGGTAGTCATCTGGGGTTGGGTCTGAAGGGGAGTAATCTGGGGTATGAGATTGGAGCCTATGGTAAAATTATCAACAGATTTGAATGGTGTCAGTCACAGGTTTATTACAGCATGTTGTGTAGTTAGTATATTACACACAAATTTTATGTATATCAAGTAATAATAAAATACAATAAAGAAATAATTTAGGGCCAATGAGATGGGTCAACAGGTAAAAACACTTGCTATGCAGGCCTGAGTTTGATCCCCTGAACTTTAGTAAGAAGAAGAAAACCAACTCCCA